CTGCCGCTTGGGCAGAGTCTTATTTAGGGCCTCAAAATTAGTTTCCACGTGAGAGCCCCACAGGTCCATTTTTTGCCTGGACGTTGCCTTAAGTCCATTATCCTTTTCTTCTCCGTCCCTGAATTGGATAGATTATTAATCTGCTATGAAGTGCAGAAGTAGTACTTGTTATTGTGCTATTTAATTGTACATACAGAGAGTACATATTATCGTTTGAATGTTATGAAAAGGCCCATTCTCATATATGTTTCACTATGAACTTACCCCCTAATCCTCCTGAAATATGTGTTACTTCCGTTTCCTCGGATTTTGATAAGTTGAGTATCTCTTCTGACGATGCTAAGGAAGGGTGAGAACACAGTGCATTTGATGAAGCTTGTTTTGGTTTAGCACGAATTTGGTAAGCATTTTCAGGGACCGTTATGACCGCGATCGTTATAATAGAGACCATGACGGCGAGGGAAGAGGATACAACAAGAGGGATCAACGACACGAAGAACGAAGCTATGAGAATCACAGACGTGGAGTGATGAGAGGCAGCGTGAGAGGGGGTTGGTTCATTTTCAGATTTTAGCTTGTTAAGAAAGAGAATTGAATAGAAGGCCAAGGTTATCTTCGCATATATCTTTCACTTACACTTTATATCGAAGTAAAGGGGAACGCTCGCTAGTCTAAAAGTGCATCTGGTCGGCTGCAGATTTTCAGTTTTGTCATTCATTCCAGATGCTAGTGCTACTTCGTCCCTGCCCTGTTATCTGAGATTCTGCTTAGGGCATGGGGTTTTTTTCGTTGCTTGTAGTCTCACTAAAGTGTCACTTGGCATGTTTTTGTCAGAGGTTTCGTTTGCAGGGAGATTCCTCTCCCCATATTGGAAAGCATCGTATGCTTTAGAGAATTGAAATGAAACAAAATTCCATTGTCATACACGTGTCCTGTCGTTTATAGCTAGCTCATACACGCGTGGGCAACCGACGCGAACATTCACAGCATTGAATCATGACGGCAACAACTATCAACGCGATGAAGTGCCGCCGCAGAGAAATGCAGGTTATTCGCCAAGAGGTATGTGATTGTTGTCTGATATAAGGACTCGGCTCTGAATTGCACCATTATTGTTTTGCATCTACAGCTTTAGACAATGGCGCTTTCTATGATACTCGAGGCGGCTATGTGCCTCGAGGTGGCTATGTTGGACGCGGACGTGGAGGAGTTGTAACATCTCCTCGCGGTGGTTACTGTCCACGCGGGGACAGCTTTCCAACTCGAGGATTCACAGGACCGAAGCGGTACTCGGAACAGCGTGGCGAAATTCTACCGCCGGCAACAATTGCTGTACCGGCTGTACCACCACCGATTCCTCCACCACAGCATAACTTCAGTATGCCACGTCAACCGACCGATGTGGTATACTTCGATCCCACCCAGCAGGTGAGCCTTTCACAAATATACCAGATGTTCACACTGTTTTGTCACAAAGGACAATTTCAAAATTTTTCTATTTGTCTAGAGGGAGTTTATTGCCTGTTTGAGGGTACTTCCCTCATGCAGGCAGTACTCTGGCAGAGTTCGGTGCATTTCAGTCCCTACAGATTAGTAAAGCGCGCTCGGCATGCAAATCATAGCTTGACGACTGCGAAATTTTGCTTCCGGGGAGGGGGACCGCTTCAGAAGTCCAACATAGCCTGGATAGTTCGTCCTTACAAAGCGGGAAAGCGTTGCGGGACACGCGCTGCAATCAATGATAGCTTCGCAAGGTCCACGATTTCCGCCTTGGTAAGAGCGATTGAATCAAAAGGCAGCTATGTTCAAACTTCTGAAGCAATTTTCTCGCTGCGAAGGCAATTTTTTGCAGTCATGAGTGTGCTACGGGTGGCGTGGCCCGCTTCACTAATCTATCGGACTTGTAGTGCGCTCAGAGGCAGTGCACAGGCAAATGGACCCCTCTCAGATTCTGGCGGAGTTAGGTAGCAAAATTCCCAAATACACCGTAGCCCATACTCCACCTGCCAATTCATGCGCTAAGTCTTGAAAAATGC